TGGGGTTGGGTCAGCCCTGGCCGGTTCACCCACATGAGCAGGGGCTGCTTCAGTCCTGGCAGGGGCTGGCTCAGCCCCACCACCTCCAATCTCCATATACAGATCGTTGGTCAGAAGATCAGACTCATCACTGGGCCAATGCTCAGCCATTGTGTTCATGAGAACCCGCAAGCGTGGATCCTTAGTCCGTGGTGGCTGGAGGTGAATCCAACTATGTCCAAATCACAAAGACAAAGTGAATCACTCGAAAGTTAGCTTCTTTCATTTCATATTCGAAATGTTTCAGAGCTGAGGGTCGCGGAAAGTCACCTGATCCCTCCTCCATCGTCGGAGGCACAAAGAAACAAATCTCCTGACGCCCCATGAATCCAAATGAAGGCTCACATCGTTGCACTCGATGTTCATCAGAAGGTAAATTTGCTTGACCTGACACCAGCCGCAGGTAGGACATGTAGGCCGTCATGGGTGAAAGATGACAATTTTGAACAAAGGATTTCCAAAAGGGTTCGCAGAAATCTCATGTAAAAAAATGACGGGCCTCCTCTCTCAGCCAATCAATGGGAGGCGCTCGCGGCGATGGGGCATGACTGGCCCAGACTTTCAGCGCATCTTGGACCGCAAGCAAATTTGCGGCAAGCCCATCGATGGTGGCAACCCCTGTCAGTTCCTTCTTCGGCCAAATGAGAAGACGTTTGTTTTGGCGGAGTGAGCCACGGACTGCTGAATTTTCCTCCCAAATGCTAGCTAGCTCATGAAGGGGTGGCCATGACCCTGCAGACACCTCCTCCTCCTCGTCAAATTCAACGATGTCTTCGCAAGACATGGCACAAATCCACGCTATATGCTATACCTGGTAGCTATAAAGCTTGAACCCCCGTGTTCTGGTCGAAAGAACTTCCCACTTGCAGCGCATGCCCAAAACCAGCATGACCATATCTGCACAGCTTGAGTGCAGGCATGCGATGCCGGCCTGTTCAGCAAGGAAAGGTTAAGGCGAGCAATGGGCATGACCTGCGTGGGGTATCGGCACAGGCAGCACCACCACAAATCCCGATCGAGATACATTAATGACATGTTTGTGCATGCATGCTGATTGGGGAATCCTTTGGACATGGGCATGTTGTACCTGGCCTGACTGACACATCGCAAAATTGTTTTGATTCCACCTATACCAGATGCAGTACATCAACTATGATATGGTCCCCACAAATGAAACCACGCCGATTGTTCGGGATCAGACTCCACCAGCGGGAGCCGGAGATTCTCAGAAAAGTAGATTTCAGCCCATTGGGAGACTGAGAAGCAGGTGGCATCAAATGCTTTTATTTCCTTTTGGGCAAGGAAAGACATGAGTGGAGTCGTTGCAAGCTTCTCTCCCACCCCCAAAATGTCATCTAAGGCCAGGTTTCCTGGCAAGCACTCAGCACTCATGTAGACATCAGCTGCATTGGTCTTCCTGGGAGATCTTCCAGGACAGGAAATGGTTTAAAGTATTTTGACCATCATCAAACCCTCCTGTGGACATGATTGAATGTAGGACTATACCAGTTTTGACCAAAGCTCTCCTGTGTCCCGTCTGCTCCTGCAGCTGCAGGTGGTGGGACTGGTACTGTCGCATGCTTCTCCTGAACGGGCGAGCTGGGCGCCGTACCCTGTGAAGCATCATGATGCATCAAAACTTGCAGGAACTCTTGCCCCATACCCTGTTCTCGTCCTTGAGACCCTTGCAGATACCACCAGCTTTCGTATTGGAGATGATCATGTCCACCAAATCATCCACTGATGGGGGTTCCTCACTAGACTGAACGCCCAATTTGAAACTGAAGTTAGGCACTGCTGAATGAGATGCTGCCTAGAGGCACAGTCATGGAAGAGAGCTTCACGACAGTCCTTCCAAAACTGCACCGGGAAGTTCTGCAAGCCTCCCCAAGGTTCTTGAAGAATAAGGATGCAAAATTTTCATATGAAAAGAGGATGTCAATTGAACAAACCTTGTTGGAAGCATCTCTCATCTTCAGTTTCCAGCCTTCCTTCTCAATCACTTGCTTCGATGCGGCAGAACAGGAATCAAGAAAAGACGCCATCCACCGCGCCGCACAGTGAGATTTGATGGATCGATATGGCTTCAAATTTTGCCCAATCCAAGAAGATAACAAGATAATGCACAGCAAGAGCATGCCAAATACTTCTTTGCCAGCTTGACCAGTCTATCTCCACAGAAATCACACATGCATACATGCACAGGGCGGGTGGCACCAGGTCCCAGCACAGCCACGTCCCAGCCGCTTATGAGCCCCGAACGGCTATGAAACGCTTCGGAAATATGGAGAGTCACCCCAAACACTCCAAATTCCAAAAAAAGTAACCTTTATATACCTTTACCCAAAAAAGGTAACAAGAGGGAAAAACCTGGTTATTCCCTTTGTTCCTTTTTTTGGTGGTACTTTCGAAGCGCTAGGTAGTTACAAAACACATTCTGCTTAGCTGGGTGCACGGTATTTCCGGGCAAACGCAGGAGTCGTGACCCCTGGGAAGCCATGTTTGAAGCTCCCAAATCAATGTTTGTGAGAGGACGCACAAGGTCGTCACTCTTCTAGTTGTTTTAGTGCCCCCTGACCATGAGCAACCGGCCAATGCCCTTCCAAAATCCAGGATTTTGCAGTTTCGATTCAAGATCGTGTTCGATTTTGGGCAGTGGAATTGCTCGATGGCCCGCCTGGGTCTTACCATGCAGCAATATCAAGCCTTGACTGCTCAACTGCGATGAAGCACCAGATCCGCCAGCCAAAAACTACCGTTCCATTTGCAGCTTCTCGATGCTCCAACATGGCCTTCCTAGGTCTCTGAAAACCAACCACCGAAACTGCAGAAGAAATGATGTGAGATCGGCCATGGGGTTGGGAGGATTTGCCTTTCTCCCCGTGCAGGGATGCTGGCGCTCCGCAAAGCTGGGCCATGTTGGGCGACATGGCGCAGGTCTCGGTGTGCTGGTTATTGGGGTGTCTCCATTGCAAGCTGGGTAGTTGAATTGCACTTTCAGATGTGTATTGCTTGCAGCCTGCAACAACAATCAGCACAATCAATAGACTTGCCAGGCAAGTTCGTGCTTCGCAGTCGCTACAACCAAACCCCAAAAGAGATCCAGTAGCTGTTGAAAGATTTGGCTACTAGTCTTCCCCTTATCTGGATCAATTGGACCAGGACACGTTGAGACGCCGAACATTGGACACCGTTCTCAGCGCGAGCCGAAGCGTTTAGCGGACCGTTCTCAGCTTCCCCCAAATGGCTTGCAGGGTCATGATAGGACCCTGCGGCGCCTTAAGCCCTGCGGCGTCTTTTCTCTGCTTCGGACACTTTCAGGAGATGGACTGAGATGGGATGCTGTTTGAGGCGGGGCGAAATGGGGAAGATGTTCACCAGAAAAAACGACCAGTCCAGTCTAATTGAGCATGTGGATGTTCGATGGATTTTGGGGTGGAGATCCAGTGCTGGTGATGCAGGAAGAATTGTTGAGTGAACAGAAATCTCCTTGGAGACGGTAGGACCACTCTTTGAATTTTTCATCAGCCGCGGTTGAGGGTTCCTTTCGAAACAGCGGAGTGCGGACCGTGTTGACTGGCATGCTATTGACTGGTGTTACTGCCTCACTATTGAGTACCCAAGCTGATGCAAACTCCTTACGGCGGCATTGTTTTCTTGCAAGAAAAGGAGCTTGGCCGCATCAGCATTTGCGACGTAAACAAGAAGGGCCGAACAAATCTGGTCCAAAGCGGTGGAATATCCGCGAAACACGTTGGAAGCATGAACTCCAATGTTTGATCCTCACCGTCACCACCTGGAAACAGGAGGATCTTGCACCGATACACTTGTAGGAATCATCCTTATTTCTGTTGGACCCATCTTTGCCCACATCCAGTCACAGTCAGTGCTATGACGCGACTCCTCGCGGTTTTGACAGCGCTTCTTCTTGGCGTCGTCTCGGCTGAGCTGCGCGTCGACTCACGCGCCAAGCCTGGCAGCTCGGCAGACTGTGCGTGTTGGCTGACCGTGTCGGCCCTCCTGAGAAAACACTATTTTAAAGAAAAACTAGCTAACAGGATGTGTATTCTTCTCTTGAATCACAATGCAGCATGTAGATGCATGTAGAATTTATTGGCATCCCCCACTCGTGGGCAAAAACATGAGGAAGTGGCCTGTTTGAGGTCACGCATGTGATCGATGGAACACACGGCATCCCCCACTCATTTCTTATTTCTGAAGAAGTGCCGCAACATCATCCCCTGTAATTCGCGGGTTGGCCCGTTTCTTTGAGGTCACGCGCCCAGATCGGGCAATCGGGATGATGTTCAGGCTGGCGTGTGTCAAAATCTTACAGGAAAGCTGCGTAAATTGAACAATTTCGTAACAATTTACATACAATTGACATCTCAGATGATGATAGCCAATATCATAGCCAACAGTCAGCCCACACTCATTGGATTTTGCATGTTTTCGTTTGTTTGGAAGGACTGTGAAGCGATCAGCTGGGCAGATCTTTGTGAACGTCAGTTGACTTCGGGTGAGTGCTTTCAGCTCCAGTGTCTCGGTTGCAGCTATCACAGATGGTGCTTCAGTAGCTAGGATGGCAGCACCATCAGTGATTTCATGTTTGATTTGCGAGAACTTCTTTCACAAATGTCGATGTACTAAATCTTGATGTCAATCAACCGCAAGGCAGCCCTTTCATCCACCAACACTTCCACGTTCTTGGCCGTTTCTACCCAAAACATCACGTCTTTGTGGCTGCCCATCCTCGAATAGTTCCGACTACATTCCACTACAAAATCAACTTCTACGCTCTCTGGGCAGTTGTTCTGCATATTTCTCCCTTGAGTAGCAGGGTCACTTACAAGTCTTGGGACCTCGTGCCATGGAACCTACCACTGTTGACAACCCGAGAATGAATGTCCTCTTCGTTTCGAGGCCCGGCACATCGCCTGCGATGCGCTGCCAGCTGCGCGGACCCGCGTCAGCCCATGCTCCGCTGCGACCGGCACAGCTGCGCGCGGCAGCACAGGGTGTAGTGACCACCTGTGGGACGCCAGGGGAGCTACGCATCACCGGGTCCCATGGCTGCGCCCTTTTGCATAATTCCGACTTTTGTGCGATTTTCCTGGTGCTGGCATGGTTGGAAAGTCTGTGGAGATTCTGCACCAATACCTACCGCCACCAAAATAACATTGGGTAGGTTACGGTAGGTTGACCGGATTTTTGGTAGGGTCTGTTCACTCTGTTCCTTGCATTTTTGTGGGGTGAACCACATGCGAACCAAAGTTTGCTTGAGATGGATGCAGTCGCTGCCGGGAGTCTGGTTCTGAGACTTCTTTGCAGAGGTTGCGTTTCACTGGCTGTTTGTTCCGTGTTGTTCTGCTTTATGAAATGACGTCTCTTGAAAGGATGTCAAGTACCGTGCAGCCGACACTCATGAAATCACTGGATTTGGTGGCCTCTTGAAACAGTATCAGTGACAATCGCCTTATTGCGAAAGCATGAGTTGATGGCGCCTGTCTCAAACTTGCGGCACAAAATAGACCCAAGTTGAAGCGGTGGAGGCCGTCGCAAGTAGGTTGGGGGCCATCGCTAAGAACGGAGCGATGGGACGCAACGAACGTAGATAGTTCTCAGTTTGGCACGTTACAAAACACCATGGGGGGTGAGCAACTGGCCACTGTGGCCAAGGCAGATCCAGATGATTTCACTCCGCCTTGAAGCTGAGATCCTTGACTGCGGTGGAATAAAAACATTCAGAGTGACGCAAAAGCATGGAACATGCAGAAGTGCACTGGAATGTCTTGACTGCATGTGGGCAACAGTGTGTTGGAATGATATTTGGCTAGAATCAAGTTCATGCTCCTTTCAGATGATTATACAAACGGTTAAGTGGTGCAATTTGCTGCATTTTCAGTGGCCGTAGGGTGCAGACCTATTGCTCTCAGTTCAACCGAGGACCATGCTCTTAGAAGATGCTCAAGTGGAAGCGTGGCATGAAGCTCCAGATCTCTCCATCGAAGCGGGCGGTGCATTTCACAGCAAGGGGCCTTTGACCTTGACCAGATCGACTCTAACAGCTTCTTGGATGACTTATATAGGGACTACCGTAGAACATAGACTGGTTGGTGGTTCCAACAAATGTGTTTCTTCCAACCTTTTACCTGGAATGATGAATCCAACAATGCACTGTGCTTTCTGTCGTTCTGCGTTGAAACCACCAGGTCTAGACATTCTGTGGTTTCACTACATGGACCACACGTCTCCACACGTCTCCACCGATCTCCTGGGAGACCCGGACGGTTTGAAATTCCCGAGGTCAGAGGCACTGGAGCTATGTGGGGGGGTGGCCTTGCAGCTGGAGATTTGATTCCTGGGCAGCAACAGTTGACTGGGTGTTTTGGATTGCTTTGGAATAATGTTTGGCCTTTGCATGACTTTTGCATACTGGAGAAGGGTCATCGAAGGGTCATCAAACTACACGGTTCTTTTGGGATGGTTTAAATCACCAACCAGCTTTGCTGTGGGACATGTGTTTGGAGAGACTGCCTTCTTGTTATTGATTCATCTCATACCAAAAGAGACTTCTGATTTGACAAAATTCAGATTGTAGTAGTTGTGGGTGTCCCGATTCTAATACACATCCACGTGGCTTAGATATGTCATCATTTAAGATATTTAAGTTCTTGTGAGGCTTAATGCTGACAAATTCAGTGCTTTCCTTTCAGACATGAACCTAACAACTTGTGGAGCCCATTGCCATTAGGTTGGAGGCCATTGCTATTCCTTGGCTCGGTCCTGAGGACTTTGGTTTCATCAAGCCTTCGAGTGCTGAATGCTGCAGCAGCAGAGTCTGGCGGGGGATTCTACGGAGAGGGAGCTTTGAGACACGGCTGCGCGAGCAGGTCAGAGTGCTAAAGGTAGCAAGGACGCTACTAGTAACAAGAAGCTACTAGTCTTTCCCAAACTTGTGGCAGCGGCAGATGATGTTTGGAATGTGGATGAAGAGGGTCAAGTGGCACAGGGTGAAGACCCCAGCTGAAGGAGCTGGGTGTAATTATGTGAAAGTTGTTGTCCGAAACTAAGCACAATTGCATACAAAAACCAGATTGGTTAAAACCTGCTGCTAGCACGTGCCTGTAGATTAGCTGTGACTCTAAGACGCTAAGATTGGGATTACTGAAGCAACCAATGTGCCTCAATTGGTTCTGACTCAAGAACAATCTGCTCGCATCCGTTTCACGAATCGGCAGCTGGGCCCGCTGCTCGCTGTCCAAGGAGACTACGTCAGCATTCCAAAGTGTTCATGCAGAACGTTTATGCACTGAAGGGCCACGGTGGGGGCTTCTTTGTGGTTGGTGGTGCGAACATTACTGTGCCGAACTCAGCGGGATTTGCAGCAGAAACGTGTATGTGTTGCTTCATAAATCTTCTGTTTCTCCCTAGGTATGTCTCCTACTTCCCTGTTGTCTTCTTTGACTTCTTTCTACTTGTCTCACTTTAGTGTTTTTGAATTCGACTAGGTTTTCTCCTTACTGAACCTTTCTCTAGAAGTCAGTCAAAAATGATCTGCACTTCCGCGTCGGCGTTTCTCTGGAGTTATCCATGTCCATGCTAAACACAGCACACCACGCAGATAATACAGGCACAGCGACACGCGACATCCACTCGCAGTGCGCGACACCGACATCTACTCGGATCGCGAGCAGCACGGCGCAGTGAGAGTTTCACTCAGCCGATTTGAGGGATCCACCGGTTGAATCCTGTTTGGGCTCTTCGCGCTGTGCGCCGCGCCCGCCCCCCTCTGGCTCTTCGGTTCGGTGGTGATTCGGGTGGATCTTTGGGGGGTCTAAGCACCGGTCACCGAGCGGGGAAGCTGGGGAGATCGATGCCGGGTCTTGAAGAATCCACCTAGGCAGACTGGGAAGACGCTTGGGAGCCGGGTTCAACGTGCTGCGAAACGTCACGTGGCACGTCACGTGATCCATGGTTTCATGTGCTCATCACTTCGGACGTACCACGCAACGACCCGGAAGAACTGCCTTGGCATGCCTTGGCCCTGAAGCACATGGACCTGGCACAGTGAATGCCCGAAGAAGACTCGGCCAAGAGCAGCGAAGCTCTTTTTCGGGCACCGGCGAAGGTCGCTACTTTAATCACCTCAGTCTTCAAGTTCTGAAATTTTGACTCCGTATTTTGACTCCAGAGATACTGCAAGTGAGCAACCCTCGAGCGGCTTCCCATGCTCCCTTAGCCATGCAGCCCAAGGATCCTCACTTTCTGTGTAAGTGTCACTGCTGCCACTGCTGCATGCAGCTTCTTGAGGAATATGCTTCAGGGCATTCTTTGAGGCCAGACTCGCTTCGACCTATGACCACCTGGACCTGGATCTGCTCACAGACCATGCTGCGCCAGAAAATTCTGGACCCTCAGCTACACTCCCCATGCGCCCTGGGAGCCTCGGACGGCTTGGAGAAGAAAAGCCAAGCCATCTTCAAGCTGTCAGTGTGTCGGCAAGTCCTTGTCGCCAGCCTATAGTGGGTTTTTCCTGAACGAAAGGCAATCTTTCTCAGGGCAGAACACGGCAGAACTGAGAGTGCAACGCTTCCGCTCTTATTCTGGATTCTGACGAGCCCGACAACTTCATCGACGGTGCTGTGAAAATGCTGAACTTGTCTCAGCCCTTGGCCTGGCAGCCGGATGATCTCTAAACAGTGGTCCGCACCACTTTGTTGGTCTTCTGACGGTCGAAAAAAGGCCCCTCGTGAACCTGGCCACGCAATCAATGCCTCCCAGGCAGACTCCGGGCAACGAATGAACAAAAAAAGTGGAGCGGTCTCAGCTTACCGAGCATTTTTTCCATCGGCCTGACAGCAAGAAAAGGCCTAAATGCCGAGCCAAAAAACCGTTAAAGTGCACATGGACAGGCCGAAAAAGCAGTGTCTTGATCGGACGCGCCAAGAACACATTCCAAGGCACCTCACCCCACATGCGTCAATCAACAGATTTGACGATGTGGTTGCAAGTTCTTGCTCCTAGTAGCGATGCCCTTTGTTGCTAGTAGCTTCATTGTTCCTGGTAGTAATGCCAGGAGCTACTAGTAGCTTCTTGCCCTGATCTCGTTGTGTTTCACAACATCAACATCTCCAAGCCGGACTGCGGTTCAGCAAAGTCGGTATCAGCTACTAGTAGCGTCCTTGCTCCTAGTAGCGATGCCCTTTGCTAGTAGCTTCTTGTTCCTAGGAGTATTTGGCCGAGACTTCGATGGAACTGAGAGCTTTCCCACTGGCTCAACTCTACCGGAAGCAAAAGAAGGCCCCCCTATGCCAATGGATTGGTTGTCAACAACGAATGGAATGGAATCAGAAAGCAAGTCCCTCAGCCCCTGTCACTGCGAAAAGACCACTTCAAAGTGTCAAAGTTTCTGCATCGAGCACCTTCTTGCACGTCACTGTTGGCGTCCTTCTGAAGCTTCTTGCCACCTGAAACCGCTTGTCATCCAGCTTAGCTCCAAAGGTCCAACAGTATTTGTTCAAAAATATTGGTTCCTATGGCGCGCAGAAGAGGAAAACAACATATGTGTTTACATTTGTTCCTTGGACTTCATGTTGTGTTTGCAATTCACTGTACTCAACCCACATGGTGGAACATGTGGCTCGCTTACCGCGACAATGTCACAGAGCGCTGATTTGTCCTTTCTCCTTGTCCTTTGGCGCTCCCTTTGGGTACCGAGCGAAGACAAAGCCATGAGATACATATAAATGCACTTGGAACTGGCTTTGGTCCAGCACCAACAATATGCGGCTCAGGAGCATGCCCTCTCAGCTTGTGATCCCAACTCTGGATGTCCTCACCGATGAACTTAGACTTGTCGAAAGACTCCATGTCACGCCTTCACAAGAAGGGCTGCTTGCCTTCATACATTTGACTTTGTAGCTGAAGTTGTCATGGATGAGTGCCCAAGACAAAGGATTGCTCCTCTAGATCTTAAAGTTGTTGAGTGATGCCATGTGATTGCTCTCGATCCACCTTCCTGTCTATCAGTACGTGTCACGTCGAACAACTCGTCACCAAACGTGCACCAACTTCGCTCCAAAACGCGAGACCGGCGGTTTGGCAAGTGTCCAACTCCCAACTGGTTGCGAGTCTCAGACCTCTGCAGCAAGTTCTTGAGAAAACTCCACATTGTTTCATAGATGGTCTTGTACGGCCTTGGTTGGTGGATGTTGGTGGATTGTGCAGGGAATAGTCCCAAGTGAAGAACCAGGTGGTAGATGGTACGGTACCAAATTGAGCCCTCTATATTCCCACTAGAGGACATCATTGATTGCTTCATCATCCCTTGTGCAACAGATGTCATCACCATTTCATCCCTTGTCCTTATAATTTGGTGCAGTGCGGCAACAATGGATCGTCAATATCCACACGCCACACTGTTTGGATGTGAAAGTTCTTGGACACAATGGCATGCGGCGTACGAGCTCTTGACCATCAGGGGCCTCCATCCCGAAAAGAAAAGGCTCCCGCGATCCCTCGATCTGCGAAAGTATCCTATAGCCTATAGTCTATTCAATCCTTTGTGATCATGTCGATCATTCGCGTGTCACTCAATGGCTGGTGGGCTGACCATCCGGTGTGATGTTTCAACACCGCTCAACTTCAGAATGTATGCCGTTTATACTATATACTGGTTCTCTCCCATCACGTTCTGTCGGAAGAATTTGCCAAGTGGTCGATTCCTCCAGTGGTTTGCCACGGGCAATCGAAGAATTTGCCAGATCCAACAATTGAATCAACAGCCATCGCAGGGTTTCATCTCCCACCATCTTTCGACAGCGGGCGACGAGAAGCCGGCGGGACCCCGCTGGCTTGGTCCCAGACGAGAAGTCACCCAGACATGGCTCCATGAAAGGTATATTTTGGGTCTGTAAAGTAGTCAATTATGCCAGCACTCTCTCGCAACGAGCTAATTTGAGATGCGTAAACTTGACTGATACTTGGATCAAGTGGAACGAGATACATTTATTTGAAAGTTAAATGATGTTAAAGGTGGTTTGGATTTTTCAGAAGCACAAAACCATATTCAGCTTCATAAATATTGTATTGATGTTGGGTGGTGTTGGGATAGTGACAGCAGATAGAGTCTTCAAACCCTGTCAGGAAAGTGGGCTGATTCACATTAAGAATGCCAGATCTGCCAGAGGCGGTGGTGGTTTCTTGGCCACGCAACGCCTCCAGTTGACAAGGCATTCAACAGTCAGCATCCAGCATGCTACAGCTGCAGAGTTTGGTGGAGGTTTCATTGCGTTGGACGACGTTGTGATTGATGGAAGGTCAAATGTGACCGTTTCTGATGCAGTAGCAGCTCAAGGCGGAGGTTTCCAAGTGGAGAAGCGTTTGCAGGTGACGAGGAACTCAACACTGAACCTTCAAAATCTCCAAGCTGGCAGCGGAGGTGGATTCAACGCCCTTGGAGAGGTTCAGATAGGTGGAAGCTCGACAGTGAAGCTTTCCAATTGCCAGGCAGTCTCTGGAGATGGGGGAGGCTTTTCGGCAGCAAAGGAACTCAGAGTCTCCAGTGGCTCCACTCTCCTCATTCTGAATGCAACTGGAAAATCTGGCGGGGGATTCCACGCTGATGGCAAGGTTGCCATTAGCAACTCAACTCTCAGCATTCAGCATGCTGCAGCTGCAGGGTATGGTGGAGGTTTCGTTGCACAGCACAAGCTTATGATTGCTGACATGTCCAATTTAAGCATTTCTGATGCATTAGCGCAAAAGGGCGGGGGCTTTTATGTAGTGGGTGGTCTACAGGTGACAAGCAAGTCAACACTCAACCTTCAAGATGTGAAAGCTGGCAGAAATGGAGGAGGGTTCCTTTCCCATGGAGAGGTTGAGATAGGTGGAAGCTCGACGGTGAAGATTTCCAACAGCCAGGCAATCTCTGAAGATGGAGGAGGTTTTGCTGCGTCCAAAAGTGTGAACATTTCCACTGGTTCCACCCTCATCATTCTGAATGCAACAGCCGGACGTCACGGTGGAGGAGTCCTTTCCAAGGGTAGGGTGGCGATGCACAGCTCTACCGTCAATATTCAGCATGCTACAGCTGCAGGGTTTGGTGGAGGTTTCCTTGCAGTGGACGAGGTTGTGATGGCTGAAATGTCCGATGTAAGCATTTATGATGCAGTAGCAGCAGGACAAGGCGGAGGTTTCCTTTCCTTCGGAGAGGTTGAGATAGGTGGAAATTCGACAGTGAAGCTTTTCAGTTGCCAGGCAGTCTCTGGAGATGGTGGAGGCTTTGTGACAGAAAAGGAACTCAGAGTTTCCAGTGGCTCCACTCTCCTCATTCTGAATGCAACAGCTGGAGGAAAGTTTGGTGGAGGATTTTGCACTGGTCGCAAGGTTGTAATCAGTAGCTCGACAGTCAGCATTCAGCATGCCGCAGCAAGAGGGTATGGTGGAGGTTTGTATTCTAAAGGCGGCATGGCGCTTACCGATGAATCTACAGTTGCCATGTCTGACACCCACGCAGGGCTAGACGGTGGTGGGTTCATGGTTGGCAATGGGCTGACTATCCACAATGCCTTAGTGTCAATGGCCAACTCTACCGCCAAGCGGACAGGCACTGCAGGTCGGGTGGTTGGTAGGGTGCTTCTTTCATCTCAGTCCAACTTTCATATCAATCATGCAGAAGGTGATGGAAGATCCAGCGTCCTAGTAGCAAGCTGCCTCCAACTACATCCCGAGTCAAATTTTGTCCTCGAAGGCATCATTGGTGGGCATGGGTTGGACCTGCAAAACAGCGGCTGCTCCTCTCGTTGCAGAAACACCACCTTCCAAGTGGCAGAAAGTGCAGCCCTGAATGCAACTGGTTTGTTGAGCTCGGGTCTGTTGTCAGTAAAAGCCTGCCCTTCCGAAGAAGTGCGCCTCTCAAGCATTCATTTGCAGTTTTGGAACAGCAGCTATGTGGTGATCGACCATGTCGACATCCACTATCGGCCGCCAGTCGACAATCTGCAGATCCTAGATGCTCAGGATTTGCCATTCGAAGTCACCGAGATCATATGTTTTTGGTTTACAGGAAAGATATACCTGGACCATCCAAGGAGTGCCCAATGGAAGCCTATAGGTAGTGTGGGGTGGTCCATTGGACACCCCTTGGATGATGCTGGTACAAATATTTATACAATTCTATAAAATAGACAAAAATAGTATACTTTGTGCCGCAGACATGTCGAAGGCACATGTCATGGTTCTCAGCCCTGAGCCCTTCCCAAACATGGGCAATCCTTTGCCAGCAACATTCAGTGCGCCTGTAGCTTGCCCAAAGCATCATCAACCTTTGCCAAGAAGCGTTGACTCTTCAAAAGCCTGCCCGACTGCAGGAGAACTTTAGTATCGACTCCTTGGCCATTTCATGCCCGGACTGTCCGCAGGGAGTGACCTTCAATGCAACAGAGGATGGGACTTTGCGAGCTTTGAGTCCAGAGAATCTTCAATGTTTCAAAACCTTCACGGTGCCACTTGGCGAGAACAAAAGTGTGTTGGCCTCTCGTTCAGAGGTTCGAATCTCTTCGTCAACTCGAAACGTTCAGAATCCAGACGTTTGCTGTAGAAGATGTCTTGGGATCTCGTGGGCGCAAACTGCAATTTCAACCCAGATTGCTAAAAAGGCTCTGGCTGGCTCCCAGGTCAAATGGCTTGACGCCCCGCTGCGATTGCGGAGACTATCGGATTCTCGGCAAACATCTTTTGCTTACCATCATTTTGATTGTGGTTTTCGGCTTTTGGTGAACCGTTGTTCCCAACAGACTGGAGAATGCACTCTTGGCTCTTTCATTGTGAGGGGCTCGGCCCCTGAAGATTTTTCAATCACATCGAAGGATCACCAGCGAGCACTTCCGCAATACAGAACTAGTGTCTCTAAAAGACGTTTTCCGGACGTGCAGCTTTTGCAACTCGCTCGCAACTGATAGACTCACTGACATGTTCGCACCGACCATTCACATGCAAAGGTTGCAGATACAATATATGTTCATAATAATTATGCAGAAAGGCTTGTTGTGAGCGGTTTTCTGTAATTATGATGTTACAGCAGAAGTGAACCGGATCACCTGTACAACTGCATTCAAGCATGTTCTTTGATGTTCATGTGATTCTTGAGGCAACAGGCACTCTTACTTCCAGGATGGCATTTGTCGCCCTTGTGAGATCTACAGAGCTTGGTCTGATGGCAAACATGACGTGTGTCATTGGCTGCCACGTGAAAGGCCAGAGCGTGTCATCCTGTTCACGGGTGCAGCAGTGTTGGTGATCCTGATCTTCATCGTGTTCGAGATCCTTCAGACTCCGTTGGTGATTCTTGATGCCAGGTCTGATTTGGAAGACCCAACGGACATGAAAGCCAAGAGGATCTTCACCATCTCAGTGCAGGGTCCTATCACCAGCCTTCCCAAGAGCATATCACGACTGGTGTACCACAGAGTGCATTATCGTGCAAGGGGAACTGGTCTGCAGTGGCTGGATTGTGATCCACAAAAGTCCAAGTCCAAGGCAATCAAGGTTTGCAGCGTGGCACCGAGGAAGCTTTTGCTTCAAAATGCACACGTGCCATTTGATTGCGCTTCCTGCAGAGGGTCCCTGCATGCCACCGAGACTTGTTACTTTTTCACGCTGCTTATTGCCTTGGTGTTTTTGCTTGCAATGCTGCCCACCATTATCAAGGTCACAGTCATGTCCGGAAACCGCTTCGAACATACAATCGTCACTTGGAAAGTAACTGGGAAGTATTGTTTCAAATTGTATCCTTTAATGGGCACTTGCGTTGCTTTCTTCTTTGTGTTGATTCTGTTCAAGACCAACTGTCTAGTTCTTCAATCCTAAAAAGGTCAGTGCTGTGCTCTATCTTGCTCTTCCAATGGTGGTTGTGGCTGTGGTGCTGCACTGGCCGGTGTCATGGCTTATTCAACGCCTGTACCGCAGAACGCCCTTCTCGGAAGCTTTGGATGACTACCAGAAACAAATCCACTGCAAGCCACATCCAGGCCCAGATGCAACCCATCCTCGCAACCAGGGCCTGTTGGTCCTTACACTGCGCGGATTGTGGAAGCACTTTGAGAGTGTCTGAGCCTTCTCATCAGGTAAGCTTTGTTGGGAAGTTGTTCTGTTTCTTTGTGTATGCTCAAAGCACGGCAAGTTGATTGAAAGTTTAGTTCGATGCATTTGCAATGTGTGTTAAATATATCGGTTGTATCGCTTTTGGCAAAGACACACACATACAAAGTCAAGATGTTGATATGGAACAGGTGAATGTTTAATGTGTTTTTTGGTGCTCTTTGTTTGTGTCACTGTTGAAAGGTCTTTTTGATCATGATCCCATGTGCTTTTTGATTTTCAGGGTCATCACAGTGCAGTTGACAATACGATTTACCTGTCGCTGTTTGTCCAGTGTAGACATGTCGCCAATGTCCGGCACGTGAGGGTTCTTCGTCCGAGACCGGCACGTGAGGGTTCTTCGGTGTCACTTCCGGTCCGCGGAGGTCTTTTTTTCCTCCTGGATTTGCCCAGTCACATGTGACATGCCGATCCGGATTTTGCCCATCACTGTTTCCGGATTTGCCTGAGTTGCCAAAAAAAGCTCACAACTTGCAGCCTCAGTGTTTCATAGTTGTTCTTTTAAATCGCAATCCTTCTGCGCGGTTTTGTGCCACTTTGCCACGTTTTTGCCACAGGCACTCCTTACAGTTACATCTGAACTGAAAGGAGTAGACATATGTCCACAGTTTGTGGGTAACAGCCCGAGTGGCAGTGTTTTTCCCAGCGATTTGTTTGGGATTGTCTGGGTATGTACGACTTCAAGTCGCCCTGCAGCAAGTGCATTCCATCATACCATGAGTTACGCAGCTATTTCAATGTCGTTGCCATAGCATCCACAACGACAACGCTTTCCCCAGTGATGGCCCTGCGGACATAGCCGAAATCCCGCGTATACCACATGGATTGTTTGAAAACAACACGCGTTTTGGCCGGGTTGTTGTCAGCATCTCCAGCATCAATTCACATTGATCACAACGATCTCCATGTGCGGAGCCTCACACGAGGCTTCATTTTGGACCGGAACATGCACTTTGTGGTGGCCAATATTGTAAGGCAAAGTTGCTCTCAGCTGCTGATGCAACAGATGACAAGCCCAAAAAAGGGAATGGCTCCTCCAGCAGGTAATTTAAGCAAAAATCAAGACATTTGCAATTATCGGGTGGGACGGCGTATAGCTTAGCCAAAGAAGATCAAAAAGTACTTCTATACGTGTTCACAATTGTTGGATGTTGATTCTTTTGTTTTGACTTGGCTGATATGATGTGAATCGATGTCGCCCGCCTTGCATGCATTTTCTTGAGAAGATGTGGACTTCTTTGGGTGTCCCTTCGCTTGCTTTCATACATTGTACTACGGTTTCAACATCCCTGCAAGGCCCCTGACACAGAGCAAAGGCGTGTCCTTCGTGACTCTTTGGGGTGGCAGGGAGGTGGACTACTTTGTGTTCCTCGGCTGATGTAAAGCCAACGCTACATTACTTTGTGTCCCGGCGGATTTCTGTTGTGCAAGAGTTTGAAGCAGGTACTGGACCTGTTATTTTGTGGGAGAGAAGGTGATTGTAGTTGGGTCATATGCGGCTTCCAAGATCATGTGGTGATACATTTGGCCAGGGCTGCCTTCAGAACCCTTGACCACTTCAAGGAGAAGACGCTCCAGACGTTGACAGGTTGAATCTTCACGTTCCAGAAAATGTTAGTAAGAGATCACATCGACTGGGCGTTCAGAGTCACAGAGTGTGGGCCATCAGTAGCCCACCCTGCACAGCTGAGGTCCCATTCCTGGGGCACCAGCTTCGCTCACTTTGTGCACTCCATCCGCTGCCATGCCCTGTCCAAGGAAGGCCCTACATTTTGGATGGATGCAGCCTATTGGATTTGTTCCTTTGCCACGTGGAACTGAACTTCAGATGTGCTTTTCAGATCATTTCCGAGCTAGGTAAATTGGTTTGAAATTGTAGGGTCTGAAATCAGATACCGTGTAAAAATCCTAGCAGTTAGTTTCTGACTTGTTATCGTTGGCATGCTGCAATCTCTTGTGATATTGTATGCTGAGGCAGGAAAGGGATGTATGGTTTTGTTGCTTTACCCTACACTAAGCTCCAAGTGTTCATTGCTTTCATTCTCCATACTCTCCAGGCCAACAACCAGTGGAACATCGCCGCCGAATTGGCCGACGATCCCATGGATAGCGCTTTTGCAAGGGCTTTGAGGGGTGGAATTAAGGGAGTTGCCATGGTTTTGGATCGCGATGTGCAACCGCTCACACGAGCCTTGACAGCGCAGTATTGAGTATCGCGCCCTGTGCCCGTTTGGGCCTTTGGCGCCCGTTGGGCGACAATGGGTGGGTGACAAAAGAGAGAGTGGGCCTGACTTCCGAGGGTTTGTGCTTGGAGCCCTACATATGAAACGCGAACATGTAGCTGAAGCAAACTCATACCTCAGCATTGCTGCAGTATTTGTGTATAGATTGTTTCTGGGTTTCGGCAATACAGTTCGTGGTCCTAGTGGTTGATCAAGGTCAATTTGTTTCTTGCTGGTTTTTGTTCAGACAAATGAAGAACCAGAGCTAATAGTTACATCATATTATATTATCTACAAATCTACTGCAGAATACCATGGCTGACGCAACTATCAAGCGATCAAGAGACCGTGATAAGACCTCTAACCAGATAACAAAGAGAAAGCAATTGAAGTTGAGGTAGCTTGTTGTGAACCAGAAGACACGCTTTCATGTGCTGAAATGTTCAGGAGTTTGGTGCTTGTTCGAGTTCCTCCTGTCCAGTCGGGAGCAGCTGGAGCTGGTCTTCACTACGAACGTGGGAGTCGTTGGCGACGACGCCTCGTTTGATCTCGGTGTACTTCGTGGTTTTTCTTTAGGGTTGCAAAGGACTCAACACAGGAAAACCATACAAAAGACCCCCATGTCTCCTCGCAAGTGCCACGCTGCATTTAAGTGGCCTTATTTCTGTGAGGACAGATGCAAGTCTTTCGACATCGCCTTGGAAGTGGGCAAGAAGATCCAGTGTCTACAGGTGGCAAAGTGTCAGGCATCCAGTGAAGAAGACAAGACACTTGTTTCAACACATGGGGGAAGGGTCACAAAACAACATCATGAAAGGATCATTCCTCGCGGTGCTTCAATATATACATGGTACCAAAGACCTCAGACAGGTCTCGTTTGAAGGGGTCAGGCGTTTTTCCAGCGTCGTGTTCGCCACATAGTTTTTAGATGTTTTTAGATGTTTTGAAGGAGCCTTAGTGTGCCTTTCAGCACCACAACGAGGAGAAAAATCTTCGAGTACATCATCAACACCTTGGGCAGTTTGGAGAAAATGGATGACCAAATCAGACATTTGATGGGAGAGATGCTGGAGAAGAACTTGACTAATGCAGGAAGCGCGGCTGATAGCCTGCTCCGTAGGCTACGTCGAAAGTAACCAATTATTTAATGTAACTGTAGTCAAGTTTTGCGGGACAGCGCAAGAGTCGTGAACCCATGGGAAGCCTTGTTAGTAGCTTCCAAATCCAATTTTGCCGGAGTACGCACAAGGTCGTCACTCTTCTAATTTGTTTATAGCGCTTCCTGACCTACATGAGCAACCAGCATTGCCATTCAAGGCCATGATTTGACAGTTTCCAATCAAGATCATAATTGATCATGTGCTTGCCAGTCGAACCTCTTTTGGAACATGCCACTGACATTTTGTGACTTGTGCCTTGGTGGTGAAATTGCTCGACGGGCAGCCATGCGACGCAGCCAGCCAACCAAAACCTCACACTACATTGTACTGCGTCTGATGATTTCTGAGGTGCAGAGTCAACCAAATCTTTCAGAGTCAACCATAAAAATCGGGTGAGATGCCCTCAATACTTTCAGATGCCCTCAATACTTTCCGGGAGATCTTCCAGAGTCGAGGCGATGTGATCCTGCACGATGTTCGGCCGGCAGGCATCAGGGTGTGAGGGAGCTAGCTACGAGGGTGTTTGTTGCAAACAAGGTAGTTCGAGATAGAATGCATGATCATAGGGAAGTTTGCACCTTCAGATGCAGTTGTGTGGTTTTTGAATAGTTACTATAGTCTAGAGTCTACAGTCCATATATATATAGTTCATTGGGTATGCAATCACAAGCGAACGTTTGCAGTCACAACAATAAACACAACCAACAGACTTGCCAGGTAAAATCGAACTTGATTATCACTACGTATCGTTGCCCTGTCCACCAGTTCCTGAGGGCTATAGATGTCTGGGGATTTCTTGCTTGGCTTGCCTTTGGGTTGGCACCCTTGACGAAGTTTTTCAAGACAAAAGCAAACATGTTGCCAATAATGTAACAGAGATGCCGAAAGATCAGGCGACTGGTTCTTTCCTTTTTTGGGGCTCCCATCTCCATGTTGAGACTTGACATGTTGAGACTTGCCACATCCATGTTGTTCTTGTTCTTGCCACATCCAAAAATGGGTTCCTCTTGTTCTGCGTTTGATGTGCCTTTTTGCAGGTCCATGACGCCCTAGATTCGGCAGACTGCGGCAGACGAAGATTCAGGAGACGACACGACTGTCCTTTGGGTCTTTTCTATCTGTAACAGGACCCGTAAACATTCTCCCTATTTTTGAACAAGGCCTGCATCATCATCCACTGTGGCCCTGGTAATGGGATGGACCCAACCTATCCCCCATTCCATAGAACCCAACAGATTGCCACCAGACTCTACCCACTTGGCTGGTCGAGCCTGAAGCCTGCCTAGGGGAAGCTCGCAGCTCGCAGGGGGAGCTCAGGCGCCTCTGCTGGTTGAGACGGGGTCTGGTGAACATGTTCAGAAAAATAGCAGCAATCCAAGATTCATTGGTCCGAAGTCTGAAGAGTGATGAGTGGGTTCATGAAAAGCCACCAAATGCCTCTTGCCATACGTGCAGAGATTGGGAGTTTGGGATGGATCCCAGGGCCAGTAGATGGTAGTGCAGGATGGACTGCTTAGAGAACAGCAAGCTCTCGGAAAAGGCCACATCCGAGTCCTTGGGATAACTCTTAACTCTTCATGAGTTGCTGTTGGGGGTTCACTTGGGTGTATGCATTTTTGTGAGCAGACCTGTACGCCAAGCAAGAATGGTGTTGCTGCTTTCTTACCCAAGCCAGCTTGAGAGGCCGACACTGATTTCTGGCAAGAACTGGCGCTGACGAAAACCATGTGACGAAAAAACCATATAAGATGTGTCCGAAACGTTGCATGTGGCAATGCTGGAATCGCATGAAATGCGCTGGAATTTGCACGTTTGCACCACCTCCAAGGGGGAGAATCGAACCGAACATGTTTCGCTTGCACCGTTTTCATGATCGTTCTGGACCCATTTTTGTTGTCCACATCCAGTCACAGTCCGTGCTATGCCGCGGCTCCTCGCGGTCTTTGCTGTCGCGCTTCTTCTCGGCGTCGTCTCGGCCGAGCTGCGCGTCGACTCGCGCGCCAAGCCTCCAGCGCCTCGCATCTCGGCTGCCTGGGCTCAATGCTTCGACCGACAGTGGTTTGTGAAACACACGAGAACAAACTGCATTGCCGACTCGCGACCTTGGCCGGTATTTTTTGAGGCCACGTGCCCAGATGGGACAATCTATCAGATGCACAAGAACTGCTGGAGGTCCCAAAACGGAGAAAGCGAGCGAGCGAGCGAGGGAGAGAAAAAAGACACTGATTCACTGATTAGCTTGTGTCAGATTCCTACAACAATGTGTTTGAATCCTAGGACAGCTAATTACATCATAAGTTCATAACACTTCACATCTTAGATGAAGATTGCCATCAAGTAGAGTGGCCATCATTCAGCCAACTCTCAGCTCAGTGGAGCTTTCGTCTGTTTGGAAGGACTGTGAAGCGATCAGCTGGGCCGACCTTTGTGAACGTCAGCTCACTTCTGGTGAGTGCTTTCAGCTCGAGTGACTTGGTTGCAGCAGTTGCAGATGCCTTCAGCTAGGACTGCAGCACCATTCCCAATATATTGTTGGAACTTGTTTGAGGGATGTTGATAAGACTAATAGTTACTATAGATATTGGGCATCAGAAAATAGACACGGATTTTGCATTTGATTCTTTATTTGGAGAGGCGATGAAATTGTTGGCCTCAACAATCCAGCAGCATTCAACTTCAACGATATCCGGGCGATGCATTCAGGGAAAACACCTTTTCAGGGAAACACACGCCGAATCCTTCATCTCATAACTCCCCTGGAAGGCCAGGCACATCGCAGGGTCGCAAAAGCAGGTCTTGGTCATCGCAGGAAGGCTCCACTGTTGACCACCCGCCATGGGTCTGTGGGCCGTCCTCTTCGTGTTTCGTCCCTTTTGAGGCCTGGCACTTCGCCCAACTGCCAGCTGCGCGGACCTGCGACATCACCAGCACAGTTGCAGGGAGTCGCTCCCTTGGGCGTGGCGACGTGTGCGACACACGGGGAGCTGCGCGTCACCGGGTGCCATGGCTGTGACGTTTGGCGTTGGACTTCTCGGAGAGGTCAAAAGCCTAAGCCCTAAAACAGTGGGTAGGTTGACCTCCTCAATATCCTTTCATCTTGCAGATCCATTCCTTTCATTGGAGGGGTGAACCACATTTTCTTAAGAGTGGAGTCAGTTGGAGTCCGTCTGACCACATGTGTTGCGGGGTGAACCGGACACTGTCATTCCCTGGCGTCCACGGGTTCTGAGATGGTGCATTGCAAGCCCTGCTTTTCCTTCACAAGACAGGTATCCCACAGGGTCACAGGCTACATCATCGGGCACGGATAGACAAAAGTTGTTCCCCACCTGTCAGGTGAGGGTTGTTAGATTTTTGAAGAGGATCCCGCCTCTGTCTCCTCATCCTTTGTCTCCTCATTTTCTCCTCAACTGCCAGCTCCCGATCGCGGTGGGCACTCCCGGACACACCAGGGAGGACCTCAGAACACGATCGAGAACATTTCCCAACCTTTATGATACTCTCCCTGGAACTAACATGGAAGTGGAAAACCACTTGTTTTTTGATGTGTTTAGTGGAAAATGGTCTTCCAAGGGGCCATTCTCCACTTCCATGTTAGTTCCAGGGAGTGTAGATGATGTGTCAGAGCACAAACCAGACTTGATGCCAGAACCAGCGTCCTTTGTCAGGCTAGTCTGTCAAGATATGTGCCCCGTACCCTGCTTTCTTCCCAATCGCCTTTCAGGGGGGGATCACTCGAAGTAAAGAAAGTAATTTTCTGTTCAATGGCTGTATTGACTCTTTTGTTTTTCTTCCCCAGGACTTTGTGAGCTCGGCATGCAGTTTTCGCGGCACACACTGCCTTTTATGAACCTCCAAGTGCAGATTGCTGGCAGCACTTTGTGAACTTTGAAGTGCAGCGTTATGCTCTCATATGTGTCCTTTCATTTGTGGGCTCGCATTTGTGTGCTCTCACATGCGCGTGCTCTCTCTCTCTCTCTCTGATGCTTGTGCTTCATATGTGCGCTGTAGAGTGCGGGAGTGCGGAATTCATCGTTGCTTTGTTCTCATTGACACTGTTGCCGGGAGGATGTGTGATGGAATGAAAAGAGGGGCACCTGTTTAAGCTAGTGGTGATCTTCCTGTTCGGCTTAAACTCGTCAAGTCACTGATTTTGTTGGTCGAATAGCACCACCCCAGTCACCACCCCTTATCAATGGAATGTCTGGACGGGGGGTCATGTTTTGTTCCCCCCTTCAGAAGTATTCAGCTAAGAACCGCCGCCAGCATGGATCAGCATACATCAAGGTTGATTGCAACAAATGTCCAAGACACCTACCCCTCGACTCAATGTCAACAAACTTCAGAAAATGTCATCTAAAGCAAATGTCAAAAAATGTCATCTAAGTTCAGAAAAAATCAGAAAGATGTCAACAATGTTCATCCTAAATTCATCTCCTAGCATTCTATATCCAACAAATAGATTCGTTCATTGGTTGTTCAGAAGCCTGGCCATTCTCTGCATCAGACTTCGTCTCCTTGTTCTGACCACCACGTCCTCCATCACCCCTTCCGCGACCTCGTCCATTCCCAAGAGCTTTGCCAGCAGCTCGCCCACTCTTTTTTGCTGCGCATGCAGAGCCTTGCTCCTCAGCCATGATCAACATCGTTTTTGGTGCACTGACTACAGCAGCCCACCAATGCCGCCCTTGCGGCTGATGGACAAAGACTTGACCTTAAGCTGCCGCGACAGAGGAACTCGCCGAGAGTCAAGAGGAGCCGCCCACAGGAAATTGATGGTAGCCACCCCTGACAGGGAAGAAGAACCCGCGCTGAGACCTTGAATTTCTTATTCCGCCTACCAACTCTCTGTTTCTGAGTTCATCAATGATAATCAATGGACAACAGCATCTAAATATCGTTTCAACAGCATTCAATAGCATCCATGTTCAATCCAAATCGAACCGGCAATTTGCAATTTGTTTGGCACCATTGGACTTACTGTAATTCACCTATATCGAAAAGTCGAACATGAAACTGAGCGGACCTCAGTTGCATGTGAGCCCAGGTTGCAGGTCAACCTCACCTCTCATTTGCCCGCACCATGCTAAGCACCTGCATCGGTTCAACCATGTCCTCCACGCATTCCCCAGTCAGCCTCCATTCAAGGTTGTTTCACCGGAGGAAAATCCAATTGAGGAATTTACGTTCAGCTTTTGTCCTTCATTTTTTTGATGGAGAATACCGGAATTGCATACGAAGCGTTTTTTCCTGAGTTTGGCAAATTGTTTCCGGAACGCAAAGATTAAAGTTTGAAAACTGTATTAAATGTTTCGCGTTCGATGTGTTTAAAGAAAATTGTTGAACAAAAGTTTCAAGATTTGATAAGCAAGCGGGACTTTTGATGATGATGATGATGTGGTTGGGGGGGTGCAATCCAGCAAGGCTTGTTGCAAAGAAGCGCACAAACTCCATGAGAGTTTCTTGCAAGCACTGTCTCGATCGACTTTTCGATTCAGCCCTGCAAAGCTATGTCGGTGATAAAGTCCTTGCCAAACAGCGCTTGACATCATAAGCTAGTGGCAGTCAGTCAGAGTAACAATGATGCCATTTAGTTTGAGATTGGCTCAAAGCCTGTCTTCCAATTGTCATTGCCTCGGCTTTCACCGCCTCATGCTCATGCCACATCCTGATCTTCATTTTGTTAAAACAAGTCGACCTCGTTCGAAAGAGAATGCCTCCACAGTCTGAGAGGCTGCGAGGGGCTCATAGTGCATATGGAATCCCATATAGAAAATATGCGCGGCAAGCACCACCAGTGAACAACGTCAGAGTTTTGTGGTCCGAGGCTAATTCCCTTAGCACACAGCCCCATCCAGAATTGGAAACACATATTCTTTGGATCGCAGCAAGAAGATCCCGGATCCTGGGGGAGGATTTGTTGGGATCGCTGCAGCAAACGCGCTATCGATCGCCACCGGGTTGCGTCACCCGTCTCACCCGTCACGATGTGAATTGGTTTGCCGAGACGAAGGGTTGCCAGTTGCGGCTTCCATAAGGAGTGGCCATCCCGAGTTGGTTTTGGCAGCAAAGACGTTCTTAAAGTGTTGCGGCGGAGCAACCTTTTGGCATTACACTCCAGGAAACAAGGATCCAAAGTCGCTGGCTTTCCTGGGGCTTCCACTGCGCAGGGGACCAAATGATCCCCCCTAACCGCCCTAACTCTACATGGTAGGCAGGAAACCGAAGGGGAACCTACCTACAAGAAAATGGGGCCCGGAAAAGTGAAGTACAGGTGAAAGATTGACTGCAATGCTTTAAGGCGAGGCCAGCTCATTGGGGCATGGGACTGAGACGAACGCAAAAAAAACAATGACAGCACGCTTTTCGAGAGAGGATCAAAGAAGAAGCAAAGAGAGAGAAGAAGTCAACAAATTGCCAAAAGTGTCAGAAGGATGAGAGAAGGCGCAACCAATTAGCTAAAGTCGTGACATTGAAGGGCATCAGGATGACCACAGGATCATCACCATACAAATGCTTCGCACTTTTCTGCTGTGTCCTCCACTAGCGTGAGCCTGTGCAATGAACCAAAAATGTGACATCTTAATTCGTGCAGCAGCATGAATCGAACAACAGATGAACATGTTCCCTCATACTTGCATATTCTCGAGGAAAACCTATGAACACCTTTTGCATGGCCATGCTTTTGTGTAGCTTGCGTGATGGTGGTCCCGTGATCAGTCCTTTTTCAAGGAGCGCCGAGACGACACGCCACGAAGCTCACAGAGACGCTCGCGCTCCTGCCGCGTGACTTGTGCGTTCAAATGTCTCCAGTTAGCTGTATAGTTCTTATGCGAACGCGTCGTGCTGGTTCGTGTCTCCGGATAGCTTCTCAACGGACGTCCTCAGCATCTTGACTGGCTGCTTCTGGGTGCAGAAGTTTTATACGAGTGGCCCTCAAGGTGGTACGGAGCATTGCTAACGAAGAGTCTGGGGCCAACGAACAAGAGTTGGTCTGAAAATGTCTCCAGCTTCCACAGGTCGTGTGCTTGACACAGCTGTTGCTGGTGGCGCCAATCTGAAATCATTCATAGTTATGATTCTTCGTCAAAAATCATCTTCAAATTGGTGTAACCCGACGGGCTTCGTCCGCCAAGGCATAGGCTTCGTCCGAATCGGATAGTCTCTTCGTCCGAACCGTGCATCCCTTCAAGGCCGCGAAAGATGCAGGGAGTAACACTGTTCAATGTCCACAAAGGCCCTTTCCCCTTGTTGATTGCGTTGCAAGATCACCACCCCCCTCCTACCTATGCAGCACAGGGCATTCCTCAGTACATCTCCTACCATGCATCTCCTACAGTATCATACCGACAAAGAATTTGTTTTGGATCAAAATTCTACCATTGAATCCTACAGTATCATCCTACAAGGAGACATGTACCAAAACAGTATCATCCTACCATGCATCTCCTACAGCATCTCCTCCGTACAAAGCGGTGACTGTTTTGGATCACGTTGTTTCCATTGAACGGTAAGGATGCTTGTAAACAGGCAGTCGTGGACAAGAACACTGCACTCGGATGCCTGCAAGAAGTAACACATGGAATTGATTGGGCTCACCGGTAGGAGGACCTCCCTTAAAGGGGTGGGGATGTCCGAAGTAAACATCGACAAATCATCCCTTTCCAAACGAAACCACACGTCCTCTCATTCAAGTAGTATGAATATATATATATATTAAGTTTTAAAAAGGCAAACCTGTCCGATACGCTTCAATGAGCTTCAAGTTGACTTGCATTGAGCTCAATGAGCTTCAATGAGCTCTCAGTTTGGCACAGCTCACACAGCCAGAAAGTTGCAAAACGCCCCACGCGGATGATCGACATGCCCATGGGGCCAAGGCAGATCCAGATGATTTCACTCCGTCTTGAAGCCGAGACGCTCATCTCACAGAGGACCACAAAAAGTTTGGAACATGCGGAAGTAGGCTTGATTGTTTCGACGGAATGTGGGCAACAGTGTAATCGATCTGTTTGTTCCATGCGTTAACCGTTGATTGACAAATCGGTGGAAAATTCATGTGAAACCTCTTTGGATGTTTGTTTCCAAAAGCACACAAGTGATGCTGTTTTTTGCATTTTGCAGTGACCGGTTAACCGGTTGATCTCAGTTGAACCAAGGACCATAATCTTTGAAGATGCTCAAGTGGAAGCGTGGCATGAAACTCGAGATCCCTCAATCCAATCTGGCGGCGCATTTCGCAGCAAGGGGCCTTTGACTTTGATCAGATCGAACCTAACGGTTTCTTGGACGACTCGCATGTGCGGAACGTAGGTTGGTTGTATGTGTTAAGTTTAACTCTTAACCTTTCTCAATCACTCATACTGGTATAATATCTTACTATATAGGTGAAATGGCCGACCAAACATTGTTTGATTTCACTTCGTGATCAGTGTTTTTCAGATTGTTCTCCTGTGGCCGGACGCGATTTGTCCGTTTGCCCGTCCCCGTGCTGCACTCGCAGAGGTCAGAGGAACCAGAGCTGTGTGGGGGGGTGGAGTTGCAGCTGGGGATTTGATTCTGGGCAGCAAAAGGCGGAGAAACTGCTCAACCGTTCTGTTTTGGGGTCCCATTTCTATGTAAATAGCTCTGACGAATCTTCATTGATGAGATAAGTTGACTGGCTGATGGTTTGGAATATAGGTTTTATTAAGTTTTACTTGTCCATCCTTAACTAAGTGATTATATAGTTACTGTATTCCAATTGACACATATATTTGTTCATGTGGATTGATCACATCGGAAGGCTCCACAAAAGAATCCTCAGAAGACCACGTATGAACTAAAGCCGATTGAACCAGCCTTGTCCCCCTCTTCCAATACATCCATTTTTAGCTCTGACATGGTTGACCTCCAAGGTTTGCGCTCATTTGGGCCTTTCGGATCGCAGCTGAGGACTTTGGTTTCATCAAGCCTTCGAGTGCTGAGTGCTGCAGCCACAGAGTCTGGCGGGGGTTTTTACACCGAGGGTGCACTGAGACATGACAAGCAAAAGTACGGCTTTACCATGTTTTATTTTTTCCAGTGTTTGGTGCACTGAGACATGAGCAAAGCACACCAGTAGGTCAGAGATGATCCCAATTCAATGAATTTGGTTGTTTGAGCCAACGGCATTGCTTGCGACCCCAGAGGAAATTGTGTTTTTTGGGCTTGGATGATATTAGTAGTATGCATGTGGGTTGATGTTTGATATGTTTGGTGGGGGTTGGGGGTTGGGTAGGGAGCTAATGACGTTGGTTTGGATGTGCTTCGAAGATGATGTCAAGGCCAGGGATTGGATAAGTGAAGGTTTGCTCCCAGGTTTGTTTCATCAGGCTTGGCTGGTGGCTTGGAGAAAGAACAAAAAGAATTCCTGTTGCAATGTAAGACACTAAGATTCTGGCAAGAAAAGCACCATGTTTATGCCTTAAACCCTGCAAGAACAAATGCTCCAATGACTCCAATGTGTGTGTGTGTCACAAAAAAGGACTCTCTGGATGCGCTAGCCGCTAACCGGCTGACCCTGCTAACCGCCGCTCCCTTTGTCCAAGGAGACTACGCGAACTCTCCAAAGTCCTCATTGAGAATGTTTCTGCAGAGAAGTATTACGGTGGAGGTTTCTTTGTGACGGGTGACGCTGACATTTCCGTGCGGAACTTAACGCAGTATTTCCCAGCGGAGATGTCTATGTTTTGCCGAACTTAATTATGTCTTAAGATCTTTATATTGCGGCACCTTGCCCTGACGTTTTTTGAAATTTTCCTTAGTGTCTCGCATTTTTTCATTTTGCGAACCCAATTCATTCACAATTCTACTTTCCAATGTTTTTTTCCCTATGACTTTCTCCGTTTTGCTCCATTTGTCCTGTCTAACATGCAACACAGCATAGCACCAAACTGGCCGCGCACATCCTACACAGCGATGGCAAAACGGACTCCTCCCTCGTTTTGACAGACCCATAGTGTGGTGAGCAGGAGATGGTGTCACATGATCGCACACGATCAATACAGGCGCAGCAACGATTTCGATCGCACTGCCGTGCGCACGCTGTCGTGGATTGGGGTTCGTCTGTACACGCGGTTGTACTTCTATCTACCTATTCCTTTGCAACTCTAACTGATTGTCCAGCTGTCGTATCCATTTGCATAAATATTCTCTCACTTTCTCCACCTGTTCCCAAGTTGCACTTGCCCATCTACATTCTCGAACCCATCTTGGACCCCTCACAGTCACGATGCGCTTGCCTGTCACAGTCACGATGCGCTTTTGGGCAGGGTTTGATTGACCATGCGGGCATCCGTGCCTTTTTAACCCGCGTCAGGTTGAAGCACTTTCCAACGCTACCCCCACATAATCATCAACGCCTTCACCCCGCCATTTCAGGGCGCTTGTCACACTGCGAGTCTTGCAACGATGCGCACCTATGCCAGTTTTCTTGATGTTCGCGCCGTGAGCCTAAACCCATGCTAGGTTGACATGCCAAAAAAGAGATCAATTCTCGTCAGACACGTTTAAATCCACAAAATGATATCTTGATGTCGGGAGGTGTTGGGAAGGTTGCAGCAGATAGATTTTGCAGAGCATGCCAGGACAGCGGCCAGATCTGCATCAAAGATGCAAGATCTGCCAAGAGCGGTGGTGGTTTCTTTGCCAAGCAGCGTTTGCAGTTGACGAACCATTCAACAGTCAGCATTCAGCGTGCTGCGACTGCAGAGTTTGGTGGAGGTTTCGTTGCATATGATAAGGTTATGATTGCTGACATGTCCTATGTAAGCATTTCTGATGCAGTAGCACACAAGGGCGGTGGTTTCCATGTGGAAAAGGGTGGCATACAGGTGACAGGCAAGTCAATGCTCAACCTTCAACATGTGAAAGCTGGCAGAAGTGGAGGAGGGTTCCTTTCCCTTGGAGAGGTTGAGATAAGTGGAAGCTCAACAGTGCAGATTTCCAACAGCCAGGCAATCTCTGAAGATGGAGGAGGTTTTGCTGCGGCCAAAAGTGTGAACATTTCCGCTGGTTCCACCCTCATCATTCTGAATGCAACAGCTGGGCGGTTTGGCGGAGGAGTTTTTTCCCAGGGTAGGGTTGCGATGCACAGCTCTACCGTCAATATTCAGCATGTCACAGCAGCAGCGCTTGCTGGAGGTTTCTTTACACTGGACGAGGTTGTGATAGCTGAAATGTCAAATGCAAGCATTTATGATGCAGTGGCAGCAGTACAAGGAGGAGGCTTTCAAATAAAGAAGCGCTTACAGGTGACAGGCAAGTCAACACTCAACCTTCAACATGTGAAAGCTGGCCAACACGGAGGAGGGTTCCTTTCCCTTGGAGAGGTTGAGATAAGTGCAAGCTCAACAGTTCAGATTTCCAACAGCCAGGCAATCTCTGGAGATGGAGGAGGCTTTGGTACAGCAAGAGAACTAAAAGTCTTCAATGGTTCCTCCCTCATTATTATGAATTCGACAGCTGGAAATGTCGGTGGGGGATTCCGCGCTGATGGCAAGGTTGCCATGAGCAATTCAACTCTCAGCATTCAGCATGCTACAGCTGCAGGGTTTGGTGGAGGTTTCGTTGCATCAGACGAGGCTGTGATTGCTGATATGTCAAACGTGAGCATTTCAGAGGCAGTAGCATCAGAACAAGGCGGAGGTTTCCACGTGAACCAGCGCTTGCATGTGTTGAGCAAGTCTATACTCAACCTTCAAAATGTGAAAGCTGCCAAACATGGAGGCGGTTTCCTTTCCACTGGAGAGGTTGAGATAGGTGGAAGCTCAACAGTCAAAATTTCCAATTGCCAGGCAGTCTCTGGAGATGGGGGGGGCTTTTTGACAGAAAAGGAACTCAGCGTTTCCAGCGGCTCAACTCTCATCATTCTGAATGCAACAGCTGGAGGCCAGTTTGGTGGAGGATTTTACACTGGTCGCAAGGTTGTAATCAGCAGCTCGACAGTCAGCATTCAGCACGCCGCAGCAAGAGTGCATGGTGGAGGCGTCTATGCTAAAGACGGCATGGCGCTTACCGATGAATCTACAGTTGCCATGTCCGACACCCACGCAGGGGTAGAGGGTGGTGGGTTCATGGTTGGCACTGCGCTGACAATCCACAATGGCTCAATGTCCGTGGCCAATTGTTCCGCTGTGGAGACAGGCACTGCAGGTCGGGTGGATGGTAGGGTGCTTCTTTCATCTCAGTCCAGCCTTCATATTCATCATGCAGAAGGTGATGGTAGCTCCAGCGTCCTAGTAGCAAGCTGCCTCCAACTACATCCCGAGTCAAATTTTGTCCTCGAAGGCATCATTGGTGGGCATGGGTTGGACCTGCAAAACAGCGGCTGCTCCTCTCGTTGCAGAAACACCACCTTCCAAGTAGCAGAAAGTGCAGCCCTGAATGCAACTGGTCTGTTGAGCTCGGGTTTGTTGTCAGTAAAAGCCTGCCCTTCTGAAGAGGTGCGCCTCTCAGGGATTTACTTGCGTTCTTGGCACAGCTCACTCCTCACCACACGCCCCCGCTATGTGGTGGTTGAAAATGTCAACATTCACTACCTGCCACCAGTCGACCATTTGCAGATCCTTTCTGCTCAGGATCTGGCCATTCTTGCACCGACATGTGTGTGTGTGTGTTTTTCACTTTGTAGGGAAGACAGATGTGCCATATGCATCAGAAAGAGTTCTCCATCCCTCCGTATTTTGCATGAATTTGTAATTAATTGGTTAACTATCCTTTGTAATTGGTTAACATTCATGATACTTGCTCACATCAACCTTTGCCAAGAAGCGTTGACTCTTCAAAAGCCTGCCCGACTGCAGGAGAACTTTAGTATCGACTCCTTGGCCATTTCATGCCCGGACTGTCCGCAGGGAGTGACCTTCAATGCAACAGAGGATGGGACTTTGCGAGCTTTGAGTCCAGAGAATCTTCAATGTTTCAAAACCTTCACGGTGCCACTTGGCGAGAACAAAAGTGTGTTGGCCTCTCGTTCAGAGGTTCGAATCTCTTCGTCAACTCGAAATGTTCAGAATCCAGACGTTTGCTGTAGAAGATGTCTTGGGATCTCGTGGGCGCAAACTGCAATTTCAACCCAGATTGCTAAAAAGGCTCTGGCTGGCTCCCAGGTCAAATGGCCTGACGCCCCGCTGCGATTGCGGAGACTATCGGATTCTCGGCAAACATCTTTTGCTTACCATCATTTTGATTGTGGTTTTCGGCTTTTGGTGAACCTTTGTTCCCAACAGACTGGAGAATGCACTCTTGGCTCCCTCATTGTAAGGGGGTCGGCCCCTAAACTGAAGATTTTTCAATCACATCGAAGGATCACCAGCGAGCACTTCCGCAATACAGAACTAGTGTCTCTAAAAGACGTTTTCCGGACGTGCAGCTTTTGCAACTCGCTCGCAACTGATAGACTCACTGACATGTTCGCACCGACCATTCACCTGGAAAGGTTGCAGATACAATATATGTTCATAATAATTATGCAGAAAGGCTTGTTGTGAGCGGTTTTTTGTAATTATGATGTTACAGCAGAAGTGAACCGGATCACCTGTACAACTGCATTCAAGCATGTTCTTTGATGTTCATGTGATTCTTGAGGCAACAGGCACTCTTACTTCCAGGATGGCATTTGTCGCCCTTGTGAGATCTACAGAGCTTGGTCTGATGGCAAACATGACGTGTGCCATTGGCTGCCACGTGAAAGGCCAGAGCGTGTCATCCTGTTCACTGGTGCAGCAGTGTTGGTGATCCTGATCTTCATCGTGTTCGAGATCCTTCAGACTCCGTTGGTGATTCTTGATGCCAGGTCTGATTTGGAAGATCCTTCGGACATGGCAGCCACGAGGATCTTCACCATCTCAGTGCAGGGTCCTATCACCAGCCTTCCCAAGAGCATATCACGACTGGTGCACCAGAGAGTGCATTATCGCGCTAGGGGAACTAGTCTGCAGTGGCTGGATTGTGATCCACAAAAGTCCAAGGCAATCAAGGTTTGCAGCGTGGCACAGAGGAAGCTTTTGCTTCAAAATGCACACGTGCCATTTGATTGCGCTTCCTGCAGAGGGTCCCTGCATGCTACCGAGACTTGTTACTTTTTCACGCTGCTTATTGCCTTGGTGTTTTTGCTTGCAATGCTGCCCACCATTATCAAGGTCACAGTCATGTCCGGAAACCGCTTCGAACATACAATCGTCACTTGGAAAGTAACTGGGAAGTATTGTTTCAGATTGTATTCTTAAATGGGCACGTGCATTGCTTTCTTCTTTGTGTTGATTCTGTTCAAGACCAACTGTCTAGTTCTTCAATCCTAAAAAGGTCAGTGCTGTGCTCTATCTTGCTCTTCCAATGGTGGTTGTGGCTGTGGTGCTGCACTGGCCGGTGTCATGGCTTATTCAACGCCTGTACCGCAGAACGCCCTTCTCGGAAGCTTTGGATGACTACCAGAAACAAATCCACTGCAAGCCACATCCAGGTCCAGATGCAACCCATCCTCGCAACCAGGGCCTGTTGGTCCTTACACTGCGCGGATTGTGGAAGCACTTCGAGAGTTTCTGAGCCTTCTCATCGGGTAAGCTGTTGTTGGGAAGTTTTTACTTTGCATATGCTCAAAGCACGGAAAACAATAGTTTAGCAGTTTTAGTTCAATACGCTGCAGTATGTTCTATGTTCTAATTAGATAATCATGTCGTCATGCTGTTGACCAAGAGACAAGCTAGATAAAATGCTACCTTCTTTCCAGGATGTTTACTACGCTTTGCATTCATTATGACACTACGCTAATGATTAATTAAGGCGCTTGGCTCGCGAGGCTTTAAATACTACTGTAATGCGAATTGGCAAATAGATAAGATGATGTTTAAGGATTTGAAGCCAAATACGTTTGGCAGAAAATTGTTTTGTTCCAAGGGCTTTGGGGTATTGATTCGTTGTCAAAACATGATGTGTTATCGAAACATAAACTAATGACATCGATCGCGACGATCTCGATGCGAAGCCTTGCTTGTGAGGCTTCATTTTGGAGCGTAATATGCATTTTGTGGTGGCCAATATTGTAAGGCCCCTGACACAGAGCAAAAGTGTGTCCTTCGTGACTCTTTGGGGTGCCAGGCAGGTGGACTACTTTGTGCCCCTTGGCTGATGCAAGTGAATGGGACCAGTGGAATGTGGTTGATGTGGTGCATTGACTCCCTGTGTTTTTTTCCCGAGAGCGTCTGCGAAGGGTTCTTCGTAAAAAAAACATCTGCATATCTTCACATCTTGACCTCTTCGCGTCTACATTCACAACTGCACATCTACATCTCTGCTCATCTTCACATCCTCACATCTACATCTCACATCTGCTCATCTTCACATCTACATTCACAACTGCACATCTACATCTCTACTCATCTTCACATCCTCACCTCTACATCTCACATCTTTACCTCTCATCTACATCTCACATCTTCACCTCTCGCTCTGCTTAACTTTCTCTCTTAAGTGTCGAGCGAACGAAATGCAGGCGAGAGTGCGGAGATCGTGCGTGTCGAGTGCGCGAAATGCAGGCGAGAGTGCGATTTGTCTCTGTCCGTCGCAACCCTCTGCGGAGATCATGCGTGTCAAGCGCGCGAAATGCAGGCGAGAGTGCGATGTACAACTTTAGTACGCGGAGCAATCTGTGGAGCTGGAAGCTGAGAA